TTTCTGGGTGGGATTGCTTGTTTGTGTGATTGATGAATCAATTCTTCACAGTGAAACGAGGGAGAGAGATGATGGTGATTATGCTTTTGTTTCTTTTGTGCGTCTCTCGTGTGAACGTAGATAATCGCCGTTAACTTAGCCGTCAAGTTTGATGACTTTTTCCTCCGTTTATATTACTCAGTTTACTCTGTCACCGTTATCTCAGACTTTTTCTTTTGGTCTTCTTTACCGACTAAGCTACTTACATGATTAAGATGAAATTGTATCATATAGATTTGGTTACTGTTGAATATATAAAGTAAAAACAATATACATGATGTAGAGTATTACAATAGCTATATTTTGTTATTCAATCTTTTGAGATAGAAATGAAGAATCAGTCATCTTGAGATAAAACACAAGTAAACAAAGTGCTAAGCATAGTTTTGATAATTTATCACAAGACAATATGAATCATATAATATATTGTGTTATGGTCCTTGGTCAACGATCCGGATAACATGGCATCTCACATCTATCACATGACTACTATAAATACACACGCATATGCCTTTAGGATCTTGTATTCATGTGAACCAAAAGGAGTCATTAGTAGTATTTTATTTTTTACATGTTACAAGATTCAATATAGGGATAAGTCTCATCAATACTCGATATTGTTGTTTGGCCAACTAAATCTTTGCGCAATTATGAGTTTGCCCATTTCGGTCAGATTCTAGAACAACAACAATTCGAATAAGGAGCACAAATAAAATACACACATACTATATACACAGCTAATTACTGTTTAATTTATACAAGTTTTTTCAAACAATTTGAAGTAAAATTAAGATGACCTATCTTGCTTCACAAGCTATTTACTGTCCCTTAAGTCCTCAAGAGAACGTTTACGGGATCCCAAATTGCGCTCCAGTGTTTGTGGTGTGGGTGGTGTTCTTCCACGGCGGAAGAGCACGGCCAACGACCTTGTTTTCCGACAAAGATCAAAAACCTATTGATTCAGCCAAAACAAAACGGATCATTCCAAATGTTTAAATTTAAGGTAACAATTTATAGAATGAGATGTTATCATTGTCGTTTAATCTTACAGATGAGGCCTCAATCTCAGCGACGCCTTCACACCCTTTTCCTCCACCTTGTAGTAGATCACAGTATCGAACAGCCTCATTTACATCTTCGAAAACCTTTTCGAGGTAGAAAACATATCAAATTTTCTGGGTTTCGCTCTTTGCAAGTGATTCATTGAGAATACTTACCAGTACTCCATCTCTAATGTCTTCCACGAGCATATCGAATTTCGTTTCGGGCCTAGACTGCTTTTTCTGGTTGCTGATCCTACTAGAGAACAACAGTCCAAGCTCTTTCTCTACTTCACTGTTATAATAGGATTTGCTAATGTCACGCGAGCGAGAGGAAAATCTAAACTATGAAATAAGCTAGAGTGGAATGAGTTGGAGAACCTGTGGTTTGTTCTTGTTTTCATGGTGCAGATTTGATTTTCTCTATGTGTTAGTACATACACCGCCTTCGAGTCTCCTCTCCATGGGTTAGACTCCAACACTAAGATTGTTGACAAGACACAACCAAGTAAGAGACAGAGCACTAGAGGAACAACATCAACTTCTGATCTTTAGATGAAGATAAGCTTTAACAAGAAGTTATTCGCATACATGGCTAAGATCAGAAAGTAGAAATCAACAATTCCTCATCATAGACTTTAGCTAAAAGCCCTCTTCTCCTGAAACTATAAAAGAAATGGTATGCAGAACACACAAATTGTTGAAACAGAACTCTCACTTCATCTATCAATGGAGAGCTTCACTGATTGTGTGTGACACAGTGACTAAATTCTGATAGTTCAACAAAATGAAAACGTCGCACTGATGAATCAAACTACTACAATAACAAGATTTCTTAGACAAATCTCAGAAAACCATTAAGTTAGATTCAGATATGCATCAACGGAAGTAATCACTATCAGTCAATGAAATGTATTCTTCATCACCACATAATCCGATTAAGAGAATCATACATACCGTCATAGCTGGTGGAATCAAACGTCTGCTCTAATTTCCGACGCATGTCGTAAGCACGCGACGAGACTCGCCTTACAAACTCATCGGAAGTCCCAGGGATCGTACCGTCCAAGTGAAGCGCCCTCTCAACTTCATCGCTTCCGTCTTCCTCGCCACCAATTTTATCCGATCCTCCTCCGCCGCCG